GAAACAAAAAGGAAAAAAAAAAGAAAAACGAATGGCGTGTCACTGTGCGTGTGCTGTGTGTCTTCTGTACGCGTCAGCGTGTGTTCCTCCGTTAGTTAGCCGACAATCGCGAAGCGGTTAATCTTTCTCCGGTAGTACTTGCGGGCTATTAGGTCGATTTAACACTAAACGTACCGGTACTTTAGACACACCTATTCTGAACATAACCGGTCGACTGATTGGTTGCAAAGTTAGACAAATTAAACGATTAATATTTCTTAGTGAAAACGGAAACCAAAGAAAAGACAGAAATTCCAAGACTGATTAATAGGACAATATAAAGAACTGATATGCAGTTAAATGGTCGCAACGAGAATGCAGGATTTTTCGTGAAATTCGAAAACCGGTCGTTCGACCGGCCGTGGTACGTTCAGTGTTAAATGTTGCTCTGCGTTGTTAGGATCTAGACTCTAGACTGACTGATCGACTGTTGGACAGACACTGGGGTATGGCACGTTACAGCTTTTCCCTCCGTTCGGGGAAAGGCTGGGAAATTCCGCCGCGAACCGCGGATTCTACGGTCCCAGTTCCCGACGACCCGAGGTACGGTCCTCGCAGAATGGAAAAGTCGTTCACGCCGATCGATCCTATCGAGTGTTTGTCACGGATGTTCGACGCAACTTTCCAAGACGCGCGGATCGTTCCGCTGCGCTTCAGTCGAACGAGCAAGGGTCTTGAGGCTCGAGCGTTTCTGGCTGAAGACGTCCAAACGCAAAGGGGAGAACAACGCGAATCAACGTCTCGTACGGGCGACACGCGGCTTAATTGTGCCTCGAAATCGATTCGAACGTTTCACGGCGGATGGAACTCGAAAACCGAATGGCATCTCCGCGAAGCTTACAAACCTCCGGCACGCCCTTGCTTAACTTGGGATTACGACTCTTTCGTAACCCAGCTTCAGGGTGGTTTTGTTCTTTTTATCGGGAACATTGATTTTCCTCGTAGCTACGCAAGTTCAGAAGTTTATTGATTAGTTTGAATATAGTAATGCTACAATTTTTGCTTCATCATCCTGTAGCAATCATTTTTGTGGAGGAATAAGGAATGTTTTCGAAGCTCGTCGCATACGTAACAACGCGAAGACTAGTTACGATGATTTTAGTATCCCTCAGTAGCTTCTCGTGAATTGTTCTTCTTAATTTTGACCGCATCGCAGCCGGAATGCTTTATCTCTCAATGCAGTTAAGTAAGTACCACTTTACGTAAGTGAGTAAAGAGAACCCGGGAACTTATTATCTGTCCGCAGCTTTAAAAGCATTTGCGGTGGATTGTGCCGAATCGATCCGCCCTCGAAATTGATAGCGTACGCAGTGTTCGGTTCTGGCTCTTAATTTTCGCCGATATTTCGTATCAGATTGCCCTATCATACTCGGGCAGCGTTATGTAGATTAATTCTCGTCTAGACGAAGGAATGCGAAATTTTTAATAATTTCCGCTGGATCATAACGCGGACCTTCGAAAACCTCGCCCTCCGCGTTCCCCAATACTCGGTCGCGCAATGAATACGAAGCAGCCATCTTCCTACGACGGATCAGACAGGAACTCGAAGATTGGATAGCACCATCGCGAATTTTACAAATTTCAACCAATATATTTTACCTATGGAAATTACTTCTGAATCGCTTTAGTTTGTTAAACTCTGCCCTGCAAAGAATAAAGAGTATACCTACGTAGCACGATAAAGGACAAACGTGTGCGCAAATTTTCCAGAAAATGTGCGTGACAATTCCCTATGTACCAACTTGCTTTAATAATTCTAGCTACGAATCAGGTCGCCGTGTACAAGATTCTAAGATTAGGGGCCATCTTCTCCGCGTAGGGTCGATCGAAACGATAACAGCGTTTAATCGGATAAATGATCTAGACAAAAGTGCCTTCTAAATCGAGCCCGAGTATTCCGCTACACCGACAACTATCATGTACCGGGTACACGTGTAACCCTTCCAGACGGGCGTTCCGCCGGATCGATCGGGAAGAAGAACATTTTCGAAAAGAGTCACGAGCAAGCTGGAAGCACAAAGCTGGCACCGCCCACGGAATGACCAACCCGGAATCGTTCCAAGTTTGGCAAGGGGGTCCATCGCGACTTTCGTTGGATTTGTTCAACGAGTGTGGAAAGCAGAAATCGCCTCTGATGACGTGAACGGATATACGACTCTCGGAATCACTCGTGCTTCGACGGAATGAGACGAACTTCAGGCGATAAAAGGAAAAGGGTAGCCATGAACGCTAACCATTTTTACTTTTATGTTTTTTTAGGTAAACACGTATTGGACAGATTTATTGGGACAGTCGGAAATTAAACACATATTTTTATTCCACTATTCGTTATAGGGAAATAATATTGTATGGTCCATTATTGAGAACTCGGTATTCATTCTTTGATCACGAACTAAAATTATACGATTCTTCCCTTCAGAAAAAGAAATATTGAACGTATTTAGTAATCTGAACGTCAAACATGTTGTCACTTGCACCTTTTTTCATATTTGTGATATTTGAATTTAAATATGTGACTTTTTACTAAGGATTGAGCGTTATTTTATTGTGTCATTGATACAGTTGCGAAGTGACACGATGAATATTTTCCGTGGCATGTTTGTGCTCGACGGTTGAATAAAAAAGAAACAGGCACTGATAGATTAAGAAGAGGTCTCAAGTTCACTTTTCTCAGGAAGTGTAGCTCGCGGTTACGTGAATCCGATTACTTGCAAGCGTTATAATTATACTTCCCCAGGAACGAGAGATCGTTGTGATCGACGAAGCTGCTTTCCCGTAATGCTTTCTAACGTATTTATACGCCGTGAACGTCAGCAGAGCAAGTCATACACGAAAATAGAAAGAGTCCCGAGCGATGCTGTTAAAATCGAGATAGCGGCAATACCTAACTCGAGCGAATCGAAAGCTGCTGTCTTCGAAACTGAATCTTTCACGAGCAATGCGAGAAACTAGAAATCTTCTTCGCGTTCGACACGTGAACTAGCTACTGACATCCTGAGCAAGATTATATATTTTTCATATCTCAAGTGGCTCATGGACGGTGATGCGTGCTTGTCAATCATGGTCCTCGAAACTCCGACATTATACACGAAGCAGCGATCGATCATTTCACTGAAGAATAAACAGATTGAATCGCGTTAGAAATCTAACATATAAGCTAACAAAGCTCTTTTCTAACTCTCAGAATTAAAATCAATGCAAATTTTCTTAAATTTCATCTGTAGTTAAAATTCTTCCTTTCGTTTTTCATTCACATAAAAATATATACACGATCTGCAACGCCTAGACAGTATTACAATACAAAAGATTTAAAAGATCTCTGCTCCAAGTTGTACACTAAAGCGAACGATAATAAACGAAGTATTATCAAGCACGCTCCGTCCGCGATCCACAATGGGCAGCTACAATTTCAAAGAGAAGAAATGCGTGGGGTAGTGTGAAGAACGGGTCACCAGTTTCCGTGCGTCACCGTGGGTGAATAGGCCCTAACGGGGCTAGGTCAACATCAGTTACCGAGAAGGACCTTGAAGTTTTGGGCGGGGAACAGTCAGTCGCAGTAGAAGCACAGTGGCAGTTCCGCGATCTTGTGCGGTGCCATCGGTTGCTGACCGACTGGCCATAATGGAGGCAGCTGTACCAGTTGCGAACGACAACCGTCCCCGGGTATCCGGACAAACGTATCGGGCCGGTGGCTCTCACACATCGTCATCATCGCCGCCACCACCACCGGCCAACCGCCACCACCACCACCACCACCAATGCCACGAACACCACCGACACCGGCAGAGTACGCGACCAGCACCGCTGCCACCGGGCACCGCCGCCCGTCTCCCCTGCACGAGCATTCCACGGCTCGGAAGGTTGCAAGGGCGGAGGCATCCAGCAGGGCAGCTGGAAGTCTGCTGGCTGCTGCCTGACCTTGCGGGCCAACCCCCTCTCTCTTCAGTGAGAACCACCACTGGCCAACACTGTAACAGAGAGAGAGCGAGACAGCGAGCGAGCGAGAGAGAGAGAGAGAGAAAGAGAGAGAAAGAGAGACAGAGAGAACAGACAGATAGGGTAGAAACAGGAGAGGGACAGAAAAAGGAAAGACACGAGTGAAAGAGGAAAGTAGGGTGGAAGTTGATTAGCGTGCGAGGGAAACTGAAAAGGACGGAGGGACCCTTTTCAAGGATTTAACAACGAAACGATCTCTGCAACGTGAAACCCAACCATTTGCATACACCGACATCGATCACCGCGTTATATTTCTCTCTGCACAACTGCTCGGTAGAATTAGGAACAGTGTGAAAGGGGCAAGAGAGGGCGAGAATAAAGGAGAGAGAGGGAGGAACAGGAGGGAATGCGAAGAGGGATGGAGAAACTGGGATAAAGAAGGTCGGGGAGTACTGTATCTCCACGGCCTCTCTTCTCTTGTGTATCTCTACCCCCGTCGGTGCACTCGGCTTCCCGGTGTACACGGGCTAGCCAGTGTGGTGCGCGCGCGTATGGATGTGTGCGCGTGTGTGTGTGAGCTCGTGTGCGAGGATTCAACGGAACAACCGAGCAACTGTCACGGAAACAGTTTCGGGACGCCAGTTTTCCCTCTCGGAGAGCAACGATTCTCTCCGGCGACGCGAGGGAGCCAACCCCCGGATGTTTTCCCCTCGTTTTGCAGCCAGGTGATACGTTACGATGACGCGGGCCAGCGAACTTTTCGACGTAACGGCCGAACAGCGTATTAGATCCGAGGGTGGCGCGGTCCACCGTGTAGGGGTGAAAACGTATTCCGCTGTTTCCCATCAATTGGGAACCGGGATTTGAAGAATTCGACGGACCATCACGTTACCGTATCGACAGACTGAAGCGATTATTAGCCTTCGAGGAATTACAAAGGGATGTAATTACTACCATCGGTTATCGATGCAGTCACTCGATTGGGAAAATCGAAAATGAATTGGCTTGTTGCGAAGAAATAGTGGCGATCCGTTTTGGAAATGAAATTACTGCCGCGGAACGCGGTTTAAATGATTCGTTATTCTTATTTTGAAGCAAAGGGATGATTATTACGTTTCTTGGAGTTTGAAAGGGTTGAAGTATATATGTTCGACTACGTAATCAATTTAGAAGTCCGATACAGAAGGTAGCAAATCGTCTGAAGCGAAAAGGAACACGGATCTGAATATATAATACCTGACCGGTTAACTGCTTTTTAGGTAATTCGTCACGGTTTAATAGCCCTGAAATATTCTCCCGCAGTTCCGTTCCCTACTCGCACCGAAGTGGTAACAAATGGTGATATGCTAAATAGAATTTCACCGTCGCACACACGGAATCTATAAATTCCTGTGGTACTTTCGAATGCTGCCCTCGCGTAACGTATCATTTCGCTGCGATCAAAGGAACTTTATATAGGAACCAATAACTAGAGTCAATCGATCGTGTAACCAGCCAGAATAAGAGAAACGAGCTACCAGAAGTTTCGAAACTCTGAAGTTCCGTGGGAGATAAGAATGATTCTCCGTAAAGAGATACATAAATGGAGGGTACGAAGAAAAATTTGTTCGTACGAAACTGCTAGGAAATAACAATCCTTCGGAAAATTGCCGCGGAACTTTTCTTCTGGGTACACCGTGCATCCGACGAACATGAATTTTCGTTTAAATAAGCGAAGAATAAATTGTCTTATATCTGAGTGCTGTTCGAAATCGAAAAGAGTTCTAAAAATGTGAATAAATGTAAAGCTGCGAAGTTCTCAATAAAAATATTTGTAGAAATATTGTATAGCATCGATTAGAATAAATATTATTTTTGATGGTTTCCAATTTCCAAGCAGAAATCGTATAAAAAGGAATTGTACATTTACAGAGAATCATCCGTTGAAAAATGTTTATGATATATCAGGACTCGGCGGAAAGAAGACATTTGTACCTCAAGAGGTTTGAATTCAACGTTTAAATCTGAATTTCATATTATCCAAACGTTCTAGTGCGCAAACATTCAGTTTGCACAAACGTTACAGCCCAAATGCCCCAAGCGCGCAAGTAATGCCCAGCCATTTGAATAATTCGGGATTCAAATGACGCGGCGGAATTCTAAAGAGATTAGCAGTCGCTAAATACTGTATTAAGTCTGATTAAATTATGATCGAGGACAAGGGGACGTGGCCAGAAACCGGAATGAAACAAGCACAGGTTTAGCCACGTTAAACCTGCCGTTGAATCTGGCTGAATTTCTTTTTTTAATTAACGTTCCGATGATAATCCTTCTCACGGTAACTCACGATAAAATGAGCACCTGTGTTAACTATTATTAAATATTTATATCGAAATAATTCTACACAATTTCTTTCATTTCTGCGTGTGAAAAGTTGATGCATATGAAGTGCCGACTTTGTTCTCGTTTCTCTTCAATTTTTATTATACAAATTTTGCCAAAAATGAATTTTACATTACTTAGATACGAGTTGACTTTTATCTCTCTAATTCAAGGACCATCGCTATATTCTAACATAAAAATTACAATGTCAGTACTCTAACATCACTCCGTTAACTTTAAATGTCACACCACAGATCTCTCTAAATATATCGAAAAGTTCACGTGAAATATAAATAGGAGAAACAAGAAACCCGCGTCAAAGTAGAATGAAATTCCTCCGCTACCAGTGTGCAAATTATTTCCATTAATCGTATAAAGTCCCAAAAGAATTACAGACCCTGGAGACCGCACTTCGAACGCAACAACCGAACAACGCGTCCCTAACGCCGCGAGCCACCCCTAACGATTCCCGCGATACTCGGCGTTTTAATAAAGATCATTCCGCGGCCGAGTCGCCGGGGGAACACGCACAAGAGTTCCGAGTGGTTCTCCGCACCGTGAAAAATTCTCGCGTGCGCGCGGGGCCGCGGTCGCGGAGAATAATTTCCGCGAGGGTACGTCGAGGGCTCGCGCACGCGAACTAGACCGGGGGGCGGCTTGTTCGGAGTGTTGTTAATGCTTCAAAAAACAAGCGTTTCGACCAACTGTCGCGCACACGAGCGCGTTACAACCGAAAGCGAGTGCTCGCCGAGTTGGGCGATGAAATTCAACGGAGCCGGAGAGACAGAGACAGACAAAGGTGGAAAGAGACTCGTCCCCGAATGATCCGGTTCGGAAGTGTTCAAGGGAAGCCTTCTCGGCCGACCATTTTCGATGCGAATCGCGCGAAGAAACGCTGGCGAGGTGGGGTCCGTGTACTCGACAGAATTGAGCCGCAAGTTCTGACGAAGCTATTCGTCCGACGGGCACACAGGACGGTTTAGTTTTCGAGGGAACTCGAGGAAACAATCCGGGGGGCTCTTCTCCTCCATTGGCTAAGCTAGCGGAGTTTAAAGCGGGAACACGGTAGCGAAAGGCAAAAGCCTCTTGTCGCGTGCTCGAGAAAACGAAACTCTTTGCAATGGGTACCGCTGCACCACCTCTACCCGCTGTGATCCTCTTATTGAGCACCACCGTCGACTCCTACTTCAACCGTTCATCCGTGAAGCACAACCCTGTAATAAGGGCGAGAAGATATGCCTTTAAGGAGCTTATCGCGAAGAGGACCTGCCGTCCCTCTTCCCCATCCGGGGCAGAGTTTCTTGGTCTACTACATCACCCCTTTCGCTCTACGAACGGATTCTCTCCCACTCCATCTCCGGCGTCCTCTTGGCTCTACCCCCTGACCATCTTCAGATACCGTACCATCTCCCACCCCATCCCATCCACCTGGGAATATTAAACAACCGATAGCCCCGCGAACCGTCGACAGCTATAATACGGTGTTTCGTCCTCGAAGCCGCTTTGTTCGAGATCGATGCAAGGCTCTGCTCCGCGCGGCCACCGGATCCACGGCAGGACCAAAGAGCCGACCTCCCCAGGTGGAAGTAATGGTATCGAAGGAGAGAGGACAGTCGAGCGAAAAACCGGCCGAGATGAAAATGGATGGCGATCCCAGAATAAGGAATCGACCGACGGAAAACCGTTCCGGGGGTTGCGCGGAGGGTACATAAGAGGCTGGATGAGTGTTATGAATTTGCGCCGTGCGGCGATCAGTTTCGGCGGACCGCCTCGTCCGACGCGGGACTTTATTGGTTAAAACTGTCCGATTCGTGCGCGACTCGGCATGATGATATTGAAAGGGACTTCCTATTTACACGGCGGGATGAGTTAAACGAAATTAATTATTTCTGCGAATGATCGATCGCTGCAAACGGAATTGGTAATAAAACAGGGCGGAATGCCGGTGTTATGTTCTGTGTCCGGATTCTATTTCTATGAACCTTTAGTACAGATGATCCGGTGCGCTGATCAGGGACCGCGTCACGTATAATGTAGATTTCGTGGATTCGATTTTGGAAACTGCAGGGAGGAAATCATTCGGAAGATTCATTGCAGCGGGAACGAAAGATATTTTACGGTTCTTATCATTTCACTTTCTGTGTACTAACGGTTTTACGAGTTGAATATTACTTTTTTATTGACGTTAATATCTTGCGGTGAAGCAGCGAACAAAAACCACTCCAAACTTCGTTTGCGGACACCGAAGCAAGAACGCGATAAGATAACCGTTCCCTTGTGTACACGCGCGAGGAGAAAGTGTATACATTATCACAATCAGAAATCAATCCAAGCTTTGATAGTACTGATTTCGCGCGGATTAGCGAATGCTAAGAGTTTTTGGAAATTAGGCAATGTAAGATATATGAAAGGATATCGAATAACGGGTTGATCGTTCAGTTAACCTTTTAATGGAAATAGCGATTTCAATTGCGAAGATAAAGCGTTAAAAGTCCCGTAAACATATTTCAATTCTAACTTCTAGTAAATGAGAAAAGCAATCCGATTAATGTATATTGGTTCAAGCTATTTGAAACTCTAAAAACGTGAATCTCTACGAAAACGCTATTAGACCACGACAGTCCAATCGGACCGTCTCAATAAGACGAAACGAAGAAGTTCCTTAAACTGCAAACTCCAGCCTAACCGTCGAACCGAACGCAGAAGAAAGACAAAGGAGCAACACAACTGTTCCCGCGAGAGATCGATTGGTTTGGGGGAGGGGGCTCGTAAAATTGCGCGCAAAAAGAATAATTACGCTAATGAAGGGAGCGCGATGTAATTAAATGCAACGGCGACCGGACCGATGGCCCGTATCGTCACGGACCGACGCAAAACGACGAAACGCTTTTTATCGTTAACCGTGAGACGCCCTTTGACTGAGACCGGAGAAAGTCTCGTTATACTAATTTCCATTTGGCTTCGTCGTACCGTTGCTCCTCTAAATGCACAGGACCCGCACACACACACCGGTATCCACCGAGTTCGAACGTAGACAGGAGTCTCGGGGTGGCACGAAGTAGCTTCTTGCTGGCGGGATGTGACAACATGTCTGGTTTGACGACGCCTCTGGGTTCGGGGAATGGGACACTTTTGGGCGAATGTCGCGAGAAATTTACGGAATTCATACTGGCGTGTGGTCAATGATTAATACGTGAGAAAACGTAGACCCGCGCTCGGAAGAAGTAGATTGATTCATCCAAAGTCCGACTTGTTGAATAATGTTGCAGTACAGATGTCACTGACAAAGGAACAATTTCCTACACCCAGAAATTCGATTACTACGATGTTTTGGTGACTTGTAGATTATTGGTTATTGAATTATGCAAAATGCAGTTCTCTCGATCGGAAATTCAATTCGGAGATGCGAAAGCGACCCTTACCTCTAGTAGTGCCGTTAGTGCGATTGCTCTACCGTATTATTGTAAAAAGCAAATTGACTTTCTTGTATCAAGTAAAAACTAGTTGCCATGTGAAGCATTTATCGAAGTATTATTCGAAAAGCATATGTAATTTGATAACGTTTAGTTCCTAGCTGATCGAGTGACTAATGAAACTAAGTTCTCAAAATGGTATAAATGATTAAGTCAAATTTCCTAGAATATACTAAGAACAAGAATACAGTTACCTTATTATAGTAACATTACTCTGAACCAACATCGCGAGTATGGCGAACGTTGAAGCGCGATTCTGTTATCGTTTCATTGGTTCGTGCTCCTTAACCCATCCCACACGAACACGCCTACTGTTAGCGAACAATACGGTGGGGGTAATAACGTGCCTATAATGAAGCGGGTAAAAAAGTAATTCTAAAAGAAGGAAACTATGTTGCGGAAACTGTTCCCAGTTTGGTCGCAGGGTGAACGACTTTTCCATCAGAACCGATCAGCGGGTATAAGGGACGAGTTACGAGCTGTTTCTAGTTTTCCGATTGATCTTGGTTTAATCGGCCAACATGCCAACGCGTCGACTCCTGCACGCTCGTCAATCGCGAAATCCGCTTATCCGTCGCGACACGAGAACTTGAGCGGTGCAACAATGCTGCGAGCGACACACGGCCGGACGGATCGGACCGTTGCAAATTTCACCGCGTTTTCGGCCGGTTTGATAAGTACGCAACGCTCCCGAGCCGATACCGTGGATCGTCCCGTCGTAAAGCTGCGCGTTTCGACCGCGCGGCGTGACTAGCGTTCCCGTTCCGAACGAGAAATTTCGTTCCCCGCCACTTCCCGTATTTTTCACCCTCGTTTTTCCAGTCGCGGCCAATAACATTATCGTGTCGAGAGCCCGTTCGAACGAGAAAAAACTGACGACAACGCGAAACATACGAACAGAAGATACGACCACCGACCGCCTGAAACGATGTTTACGCGGAATGTTCGAAAGGTAATCTTCGGGAGTTTAGAGGCGTTATCTGTTCGCTGAAATGAACGAAGTGCTCGATATTCTTGCTTCTATTCGCGGCACGCTGGAGACACACGCGAATCGTGGAACTGAAGCAGGATGTTTGTCGACACAAGAAACGGACGTTTTGTACAATGAACATGGTCGAGGGGAGTGAACAGAAGCAAACGAGTTGTCCGAGGTGATAAGCATCCCCGGTTTGATTCGAATGTCCCGAATTCTCGAGGATTTCGGACATTCCGCGGGGAGGAAACCCGAACGGAGAAAGAAACGCATGGTACGTGTACGATCATGTTTGCACAGTGCCATTGTTCGACCGTTGAAGTATCTGTATTTCGGGGTGTTTCTGTTTTATGTGACCCTTCAGGTTATCCAGCCGAGTTCGCCGGCACCCGCACAGTGGGCACACGTAATTCCCTGGATTGTGGGTCAAGTAATGATTCTTTTGATTGGACACGACCCGACCGCACAGTTTGCATTTGCTAGTGTACGTGTACGGCATCTTCTCGAAAAAATCCGATAGATTAACTTTCTCGATGCACGTAATCGGCGCGCACTCAATGCCCTGAGGAGTTAAAAGTGTCGTATCTGCAAATAGAGAAAAGTCGTGTGTGAAAAACGGCCGTCGACGGTATACTCGGTTGCCGCCACGGCTCCGTTCCGTCTATTCCTCCCTTCTCTTGTCGTCGCCCCCGTGCCACCCTCGTTATCATTGTTGTTGTTGTTATTATTGTTACTAATATTATCAGCCTATCGCGTTTTCGTCCGTACACGCGTTACGCGAGTCTGTACGAAGGTTCACGCATTCTTCTTGTCACTTTTCGTTCCTTTATATCCGTTGAATTTTCATCAGTTTCGATCGGGACACACCTTTTCTCGCACGCTGCGCAAAAATGGTCGGCTGCAACACACGCGGTAGGCGACAGAAATGCGCTCGGGTGTTGTCGGGATGATCGATGATCGATTACCAGTCGACGGTCGTGCGCGCGTTGCCGGTGGAAAGAAAGGGACCGTTGTTCATCACGGCGGTGTTACATATTACACGGGCACATTGTTATTTATTATATTATATTCTATATAGATAAATATATATATATATGTATATGTTATATACCATCGAAATATCGATTATTGTATAGTCGAGTATTGTACTTAAAAAGGAAAGGCACCATTAAACAAAACCCCTCTATGAAAAGTCTGTTCTTTGCAACAGCCTTCGGGCCTCAGAGACTAGTTCATCATTGACTATTTTATCGGAGCCACGCAGGCCCGCGCGAGAAATCGGTTCACTCTTTCTTTCTTTCTTTCTTTCTATCCTTATTTCTCTTATTTCTATTATTTCTCTTTTATTCATTCTTACTTCTTGTTCTTTTCGTTAGTTTCTATTTCTTTTATCTTTTTTTCTTTTTAATACTCAGTCTTCGACGTCTTTCACAACCTACGATATAAATATTATAAAATTATATAATATAGGATCTATAAATATGAGTATAAATAGTCACTTAATACTGATCTCCTCCATCTATGGAACAAGACTGGCGTTTCACGGATTATTACATTGGCAGTAGCAGACATCGGGCATGGAACTGGACGAGATATTCTAGCGAGTCGCGGCGAGAGTCGTTCATATTCGATTGCAACGCGCGAAGATCACGTTCCTAACGGATATTTTTAGACGGGATAATCACTAACGAATGATTCATGAAATATCTCGCGTAAATTGAGCCAAATTGTTTCCGCTGTTGTTGAAAACAAGGAAAAGTAAGTGGCTTCAGGATATGCATACGACAATGATGAAAGGAAACCCAAGGTCGTTTCGAATGTCGCTTCAATGATTTGCGACAACGTACGAAACAAGAAATTCGGTCTATCGATGCTAAATCCATGTCAGTCAGAAACTAATGAAAATTCAGGAACGAATGTGAATGTCAATTCATTTTAGTCGAGAACTGAGTAATATTTCATTGATCCGGGTCATTCTAAGGTCATGATGTTATAGGTCGTTAAAATCGTCTCGTTATCGACTCGATAGTAGATGAACGTCATATTACAAGGAATAGATATCAATATGCAAAGGAACAATGATGACCTTACAGTGACATTCAAAATAACCTCGCAAAAATCCTTTCACCCTTATCAGATGCATATTCTAAAATTCCGTTCTCACTTCCAACAGCAACGAAACCAACTAACACCTTCAATTTAAATGAAACAATTTATACACGCACCAAAAATAAATACGCATTAAACTTCTCGCGAATGAAAATCCGTTCGACAAAATATTCAGCGTTCGAGCGTTGGTTCGTCGATCGAGAAACCAAGTAGCCATGTCCGGAAAAGGTAAAAATAATGAAACTATAATATCGGCGATCGAATCTTTGATTGAAAAAGAAAGCATCCCGTACCGTTCACATCAAGAAACGCAGAAAAGCTTCGAACAAACAGAACTATTTCCCGGTAAGCGTAGAAAAGAGATCACGTTCGGGCGGGAATATAAAAAGCCTTTTTAGAATACATCGAACTCAAGAGAGGGAGAGATCGAGAGTTATTTGTACACTATGAATACTTAAAATATTCTCTTGAATAATTACCCGCTGAAAGCACGGGCACTAGCGCCCGCGGATTTCCTCCGTTCCCCGCAAGGACCCAGCCCAACTAGGTTTTCCGAAAAGATAATTAATGCAAGATCGTGTTCCGCGAGATCAACGTGGAACGATGAATATTTTCCCCCAACCAAGTCGCCCCGCCGACGAAAAATCCACGGCCGCAGCTATTTTCCACGAGGAAAGGAACGGATATTCGTTGCGCTACAACCGAATATTAACGGCGAACAATTTCGCGTGCGAGGAAGAGAAAGAGCTCGCTTCCCCAGGAATCATCATCTTCGAGCTCGAAAAACGGATCGCGCCGCGCTCTCGCCCCGAACTATCTCTTTCTCTTATGCAAATCTAATCAAAGGCAATATCTCGAGGTTTCTTGCCGGCGAAATATCGCGGCGGAAATGAACGGCGCGCGGTGAAATTCAGTCCCATGCGCCGCGCCGCGGCACACCGGCTCAGAAAATCTCCCGCGGAGACTTTTCCGCGAGCGCTATGGGGTCATCGTGTTAGTACGAGATCCAGTCATTTCCGGTGGCCGCCGCGAATAAACAATTTCGCCTGCTCTCAGGAGAGAAGGGAGAATCGTCGAACGAACAGGACACTGTCCGAATTGTACGCTATCTGGCGATATCTACTGGAGGTAGTATAGTATAATACACGAACACGATATATATGTATAGATATATACCAGACTCACAGATGTTGTCGTCTCCTTTTCCTTCCTTTGTACTCTCGATTATAAATTACTTCGAACACGTGAGATCTCTATAAGCAATACCGAATCTACGACGAACGATCGGCGCCGGTTCCCGCGTTTCGAGGCGGGACGCCAGCCGCCGGAATGCTTAATTAAGTTAAATTTAAGAAAAAATTGAATCAAGGAAAAAACTTAAGTAACTAGAAACTAGACGCACGACAATAAATAATTGGGTTTCCGTTAAAAGAGAATAATTTAAATGGGGGTTGGATACGATTAAAATTAGCGCTGGGAGCGGGCGAGCCCCGGTCGCTTAAACTAACGAATGCCGAGTTACAAACGGTCTCTCGACGAAAGAGTTGATTAATACTAATCGCGCGCACCCGCGCGTTTTCCGCGGTGCGCGCCAAGAACGAGCGAGCCTCGCCGATTGTTATTTCGGTTGGGCTTCCCCTCTCTCGTTTACTTTCGTATTCTCATCGTTTTCATTTCTGTTCTCTCGTCCCTTTTTCGAATATTCCTGTTTTTCTCGGTTTCTCGACGTCCATTGCTCGCTCGTGTGATGTGTTTTGTTGTATATATATATATATTTTTTTTTGTTTGTTTGTTTAGTTTTGTTCGACATGTACGCGTCCCCTCTGCGCATTCTCTACACCGTACCGAACAGAGCCGAACGAAACGATCGAACATTTGCGCGCGAGTCTCAGATTCGGCCACGGGCAAAAATTGTCTAGGTGAGGTAAGCCGGTTCCGATTTCGCTAAAAAGTGCTTGTGCTCTAGACGCATGAACGGCGATATCAATGATCCCTCTCGTATTCCGTGCTTCAACTTAATATGCCTTTTCAGATTGTCGGACCTCGTTAACGATATCATGCAGATTTGGCACTGATATTTATCGGGGAAATGCGATTTCATGTGCTTTTTAATGTTGGCCACGCTCTTCCCGCAGAGCTTACAACACTCCGCGCCGAGAGCGTTCGGCTGTTCTAACTTATTCTGACTGTCTTTACTTATATCCTTCTCTTTTTTGCAAGTTCCCGCTGTTCCTGGAATTACAAGATCCCGATTTCAATAATTGTTGGTTAGGTCATCAGCGATTACCGACAATCTCTACTAGAATTCATGATAAAGATAATATATATATATATATATGTATATATATAAAAACAG